GGTAGCCTCTTCTATTGCTATTATTSATTTGTCAGACTGGGCATGGACCAGCTCGGCCTTTCCCCAGCGCTGTAGCCAGAGCACACACCAGCGGATAACATTAGCACAGGCAAGTGCCACATCTCAAGACTTTCTTCATACACTTAACTGAACTACACCATAGAAGTGGCTGAGTTTATTCACCTTTTTTACTCCCAGAGKCACACTTTGGATTAAATAGCTTTTTCACTTTTCTTCCCCAAAGAGTTAGGGAGTGCACAACATGCATCATCCTGTCTATTTATTTATATATTTTTCTCTAGACTCTCCTACCATATCCTATTAAGCAACTCTTTTTATTCCCTAAACATTTTAATCACTGTTCTTCACATCAGTTCTGGTTTGGGGTATTCTCTTGAGCACAGATGATCATATGTGCATTCAGTGTGGCCAGAAAAAAAAAAAAAAAAAAAAAAGACTGCCCTTTTTTTTACTGGAATTACCTCTGAGGCTCCCTTTTGCATTTTTCATGCATCACATGGTGGCTCATGGTCATTCTAGAATTAGAGAACACAAATAACAACATGAACCCAGGTCATCTTATTTTATGTCACAACCACAAATGGTAGATATYCTTTGAGCCTTCAGGGATGAAAATGGAACATGTGGAACTATTAAAGAACATGTCCAATTATAATATAAGCAATAATGCTAAAATATTTAATATAAACTGGGTTGCAACTAGCTAATAGAAACACAATGGACTAAAGAGACAGTAAGAGAACATAAGCAAACATGATACAGGAAAACGCTAACGTCAACATAGGAGAAGGCCAAAAAATAAAAATCCTTAGAAGTGGTATTATGAAAGAAAAGGCCCCATACAAAAACTACCAATTACCAGAACTTCCCCATAACGAACCCCGTGTACAAGAAAAGTGTCAGTGAAAACTGCTCCAGCTTCCACTATCGTGCTCTAACTTTTGCAGCAAATGTTTTAAATGAAAATTTCTGCCGAAGAGTGCTCCTTGCTGGCAGGACTGAAGATCTTCACTTTAATAACTACTTCTCCATTGTGAAATCTCATGCAAAGGCCAAACCTTACCAACCCACAGCATACAAGGTCCTAATAAATTGCTTAATTACTATATTCAATACAAATGACAAATTAGGTTACATCCCTTACTTCCATGTCTTTAATTATCCTGTCTTTGAAACATTTTAAGAAGTCTTACATCGTGTGATCAGACTGAAATTCCACAGACTTGTGGGTATGGACTAATTTCATCACTTCTTTCTTTCTTATTTGTACAAGTGACTGGCAGATCTAGTACAGCCTTTTGAATATATCTGCTATTTTACAACCACATGAGAGTCCAAGGTTGTCCTGTAAAACTACACCTACATGGAATACAATATGAATGTGAAGTAATGTCGGGGGGGGGGTGAAAGGGGTATCTCATTTTGTTTATAAAATGTTGGCCTCCTAAGTAAATGTTAATATTCAGGATATAAAGCATTATAACAGAGTTATCAAATATTAAATCGGTGCTCGGTTTTAGTCAAAAGGAAAAGAAATCAAAAACAGTGAGAAGATATTATGCTACAGTATAAACCTATGGAGCACTTGCCATATGAATAACATGTATAGTCAGGTCCCTACAGCCTAAAAAGCTCAGGAATTGAAAAAGCCCGAGAATGGCATCCAACATCACTGAGGTAGGAAAGGGTTTTTATATGAAGAATGACCGGTTAGATTGTGACCTGGAAGTCTGGAGAGACACCCCCACCAGGGAAATGACAGAGATGTATAAAAGCTGGAGCGACTTGGAGAACATTAATAGATTGCTTACTGTCTCCTCCAGGCAGTGGGCATGAAATTAAATTTGCAGGTGACAGATTTATAAGAAACAAAAGGATTTGGTTCTTCACACAACAAAGCTTCGAGCAGAAGAATCTCTCGATGCTGTAGAGGCTAGAAGCTTTACAGACCTTTGCAGTTTAAACCCAACAAAACATAGTAAATAGGAAGATGCTACCTCTGATCACAAATATGTTGACCACCAAGAGCATATGGCTAAAAGTGTATTCTGGGCAAGTATCGAGATATGTTTGCTCCATTTTCCATATGCTCAAGCACTGGCCATTTCATTGCCATGTTCTGGTAACATGCAGAAAAGAAAAGGCAGCACAAGACTAGAAATTGCATAATTTGATAGTCTTTTATGTTCTGTATGTTTCACATTAACTACAAATTTAAAAGCTAGGTGTGGCCAATGAGGTGCTTTCATAACATTTAAAAAGGTATGTTCTTTGACTTCTTTATACACGTTGCACACTCGTGAGTATTCAATGAAATAAAATCAGAGCTAAAGTTGGTGTTTAAAATATGTCTGGATGAACTGGAGACAGTCAACAGCTATATGACAGASTTGAAAAAGACCAGAGCAGAGGCTAGGAATGCCTCTGCAATATTTGGATATTACTGGTATGTGTGTGATAARGAATCTAGAGCAATGAGGACTAAACGTTCAGCATTTTACAGCAATTTCCTCAGTTTTGTGATTGCTGTGATAGGCAATGCACTTTAGTTTCTATCCTTAATGTGAAATTACAAGAGCTTATTTGAGCTTTTTTTTTCCCTACCAAGTAGAAGAAACTCAAACTTACAAACGCCATGAACAATTTTTTAATTTTATCTATCTTAACACTTACCTAATTTCCCATGGAAATTCTTCAATATATTACTACAGATTACCCTAGGGAATGGGATAATACAAAACATGCAAAAGCATTCGAAGGAATTCCAGTTATGCCAGCTTCTGAACTGCTTGAAAATTAGCTTGTGTGTCATCTTGTCCATATGACTGACTGATTAATGTTCAATGATCATATTAATCCACATACACATTTGGAATATACTTAAGAGTTTAGAGCTCAGCCTGCTGTTTCTAATGCATAAAGTAAAAGCACTTCTCTCAAAAATATTACTTTGAATGATGCTTTATATAACTGAAACTGGTACATAGTTCTAGCCCTCAAAACAATGCAGGTTACCTGGTATAACCCTGCACAGTACATGCAACTATTTACAGTATCTCAAGAAATCTTCACTAACAAGCATAGCCCTGCTTCACACAGCTATAATTACCTGAAGGTTTTTTTTTTAATTGTACCATGTAAAAGATCAAACTATTTCCTGAGGTAGAGTTGGAATTCTTGAAAATCTCTCATTTTTTTCTACAGCAAGCAAAGTTAACAATTTTATCAATTTGAGTTGCAGATAGTATACATTTTCACAGCATGATAAGTAACCTTTTCCATAGGATTTTACTTGAGTTCCTTTTTTTTGCCTTTATGGCTTTCAATAAAAGGTATCATCATCATCATATTTCATACATCTCAGACTTTATCCAGTCCTCGGTCTTTCTTTCCACCCTTAAAGAAAGTGCTACTTGAATGTTTCTTTGTTCCTCCCTTCTCCCAAGTTTCTTCACTGCAGTTATACTGGAAAWTCTTCTTTAAAGGCAATCAGACTACATGGAAACTCTTTCCCACTCCCCAAACCATACCTCATATCTAAAATTCTTAGCTGAGAATTTCTTCTCTGCTTTTGCAGTCTTAATCCTCACCTTAGCAAAGCCCAGCTAAACACAGGTCTTTTAGTATAAACCAGGCTAAATCAGAAAGGCTACATAAGATGCCACATTTCACTGCAGTTAAACCACATGTGCCATTAGAAAATATATGTATATATGTTTAACCTAAGATTGGACAGAAGTAACAGCATGGATATTAAGCATCCTTTAACAGGGCACAAAATGAGGACACTTTAATGGCAAGTTTTCACTTTAAATAGGAAAGATCATTGGGAATGGTAGAATAATATGGTCAATTCAACTTCCCTGCTCACAAAGTTCTTGAATAATGTTTGGAAATGGGCAACACTGTTGGCAACTAACATCTGGAGCCTCTTTGKCTTTCTTACGTACTCACTTAGCATCTGAGAACTGAAATTACATTTGCCCCATTCTCCATATAGTTCACTAAACTAGTCATTACATCTCACACCAAATATTTTCTTTCTTATCTTAAAGGTTTCCAAGGTAATTTTCAATAGAAATAATCCCAAGGAAGATTAAAAAAGATTTTCAAGTAATACAAAGACTATCTGGAAGCTGACTAGACATCAAGGGAAAAATTAACACCTTTTTCACTGTTATCTTCTACTGAAGAATTCACAGCCAGTAAGTGCCTTCAATCCACAGCAAAACCAATGGTCCTGCTACCAATATAGTAAGCAGAGAGAAACTAGGCATGAAATGGACAACCTGTTTTCTAGAGGAAAAAAATCCTCTCTAAAGAAACACATGTAGAAAAACATTTCAAAACAAGATTTTTGTTRATGCTTACGTATTACAGAAGGGTAAGTTTTAAGAGTTTTAAAGAAGGAGACTCGTTCCCATTACCAACTCTTTAATTGCGCATGTGCAAAAAATGTCTGTTTCTACTACAGAGGGTACAATACTACTTTGGAATATGGACTGAAATAGACCATATGAAAAGCGTCATGTTGTAAATTCATCCATCTCATTGTATAATCCCATATAGCCAATATGAAAAACATGATCTAATTATTTAGCATTTGCATACAAATTACATATTTGGAGATTTTGTGGAATGGTTCCCTGTGTGATCCTGGGCCAGTTCTGAGCCTCTCTAAAGCTCTGTTTCCTTGTTTGCAAAACATATTCATTTTAATTATGCATGATGTGGTGGAGGCTTGATTAAGTCAAATTTGCAAAGAGCTTTCAGATCTAGAGATTCTATGCAGAAGGAAGACTTAAAAATAAATAAATAAAAAAGCAAAGCAGCATTTAAATCCACTTCCAAGCAGCATGTGCTCTGCAAGTCTGCTTCATACAGGAAAAAAGAAAAATGTATGGGCACTATTTTGCAGGAGAAGATTGCTTATACAGCAAGGATAAAACATGTATAGTAAAAATAACTTATCCACTTACTTCTTCCTTATTTCCAGGTCTGAAACGGGAACACATCTTAGGCCAGCTCCTAATACCATCAGGGATGATGTTAACAACACCGTTACTCTCAGACCTAAGATGAAAAAAACAACAGTATTTTACACATTAAGTCAGCAATAGAGAAAAAAACATAGTCTAAATATATACATTTACATGCAGTGTCATATAGTTCTCCATCTCTAATCAAAAACACTTTAATACTGACATGAACTACAAGTATATAGTGAAAGTCTGTATTATCTTCTGTGCCTTCCACTCCAGGATTACAAAGGCTTACACTTGGCATCCTGCTCCACAGGATTGTACCCAAAAGCTTAGCGACACTCTTGGAAATGAAAAGTGATGATAGAAGCATCATAAATGGGACAATATTTCCTTTAGAATCACAAGTGCCAGGGAACATCCTCTGATGCGTGACACAAATTCTGGTTAGAGCTAAAGAGCTGGACCTGTATGTTTAATTTTCCAGCTACTTCATCAGTGCACGTACAGAACTGTTACTGTTTTCTTTTGTAATGCTGACACGCAGTTCATCTCAAAGAAATAACTATTTTTTCAGCAGAAAAAATGCACGTATTTTTTTGTAGACCTTGCAATTAAAGCACATTTTTGCTGCACTCAGCTCAAGTTGTCAGAGACTGTAAACACAATACGTAAGAAAAAAGCTGCAGTTGACCAATTCCATGCAAATGCTTTTTCCTCATATTGCAGTTCTGGATCAAGAAGCACTTAGATCAGAAACAACCTATTTCAGTGCTATAATTCCATTYGCGAACAGTTTTCTTGCAGAGATGTTTCCATCTCCAGGACGTGGATGGAGAGCAGTCCCAACTGATGGATTTAACCTTCAGAGTCTTACAAGACTGGAACAAGATAATCCAATATATAATCCAATATATAACAATTAAAAAGCACTGMTATAGTCTGCCTCTCTTGAAATTTGAAAAAAAAAAATCACAACAATAAATGCTGAAAATAAAGAGCTTCCAAATTCTTAGCAGAATAACACATTTAAACAACAAGAGATACAAAGGGGTATTTCTTACATTTACATGAAACTCCAGTAATTATCCAAAACACAGTAACGACCCCAAAACCCCACTTAGACAACAGGCTGAGTTAAGCCACACAACAAGCCAGAAGTTCTGCTCAGACTTGCTCATCAGCTCTGCACTTAACCRCCACACACATTGCGGTTAAACTGGATTTTCAAGAGTCCCTGTTCAAACAGCCCTCACAGGCTCTCACGTGGCTCAAAAACCTGTTTTTGTTCTTCAYGTTTTCTGTGCAGCTGTGTGAGCTTTTACAGGCCGCATCAGCCTGTATTGCCCAAATACCTCTCAAAACATTAAATAATGTTTTGAAAGGAGTTAATAATTTGTATTGGGATTGCATATGTGATGTTGCTTATGCCCTTTTTCCCCCCGAAATGATTCTTTGTTAGCATTATTTTTATCCAGTGAGAATTTCTACATAATTAGCATTTTTATTGGTGGAAAGTCAAATTTAAAGTCCAGTTAAGAAGTCTTAACTGGAAAATCTGATGCCTTTCATTGGGAAGTGGAGCTGTAATATTCCCAGGAAGCTTTAATCTGTGTCCTCACCTTCTTACTCTTCATGCAGACCAGGTGCTCTCTAAATTATGTTTCACAAAATATTTCATGTTCTGCCTTTTAGGAGATTCGGGAAAAGGAGAGACAACATGGAAGTTCCTGGCCACATGACATAACAACAGACAGTCCAGATGCAAACCCAGGGTGCAGAAGTAGATTAGGGCTATAGGAACWTTCAGGTTGAATCATCACAGGACACTTGAGAGGCATTTCCAGGTCACAAATTCCCAYTTGACTTTTTATTTTTAAATCAATACAAAGTTATAAATTAAATGTGCATGGACTTCCATTAAAACACACAAAATTCAGTTAAAAAAAAAACCAAATTAATGTCAAAACTTTCCATCAGCACTATTTCTAGGCTTATCTTTAATGTCAGTCTCACAAGTCAGGTAAAGAGAAGTCATTATTTTAAAATAATCAGCAAGAAACTCACTATCCAGCTACTACGTTCCATCTTCCTAAACATTCTTTGAAGCCTGCATCTTGAAAGCTACGTACTGTGCAGTGCCTCTTTTAACTGTCTTGCTTGCATAGATGATRGGGTTTTTTTGCATATTAAGGGAAAACAAAAGGCCAACACACCTRAAAATTCCTTTGGTTAAATCAACATGCTAAAAACCATGACACCAAAGTAAATGAGGAAAAGGCTGCTGGACAAGAAGCACATATTAGATATAATTTTCATTGTTAATTCTATGACTTACTTCTACACTCTCAGCACCGTCTCTTTTCTTTTTTCCTTACTTTTCGACTTTCTGAATCTRTCTTCCATTTCATCATTGCTAGAAATCAGTCTGTTTTAGTAATTATAGTTATTCAAATACTTTTGCTTTGAACTTTGCAAGGGATGTTAAAAGGAATTAAAAGTCTTATATTACACAAAAACATGCAAAATAGCATTTTGAATTATTATGCATCATGGGGCCAATAAACAAAATTTATCAACCAAGTCCAAAAAGAGCACGTGAACATGCTTTAGCAAGACACTATTTSTCTATTTTAAAAGCAATTTAAACAGCCAAGATTTTGAGCAGCCCACATCAGCTTTACTAGTTTAAAAACAAAAGAATAGCAATTGATTGGGAGGGAGGCACTRTATTCATATATCAAAACCCCCAGACATTTTCCCTCCCCTGACATTTTTTACCCTCTTCTATCAGAGATTTTTGGCAAGCAGATGGAAAAGGAATAATTAAAATGGATTTTCTGCCAATGCAGGAAGTTTCCTGCTCTTCAAAGCCTTTCTTGCTGGCTGCTCATGCCCAGCTTGCGCTTGCTGGAGATTTTGGGGAYACCCTGCTCCATCTTCACTATAGAAACTGTGGCCACATCCTCAGTGGGCAAAGAGTACTGATAGAAATAGAGAAGTCCAAGCCAGCAGCAGAAATTCTCAGTTACTGATGAAAAGACACATTAAATATCATTTATGAAGATAATAATCAATATTGTTTAACAGCTTAATTCCTCCTAAGGCTAATAACACAGTCTGCTTTCCAACTTCAGCAGCCTGCAGTGCATTTGCTTTTTTTTCCCCCTTTTTTTTTTTAATATTCTTTCAAAAGACACATCCCCAAACTTTTGCCCACCACCAACTACTGGGTCTCCCTATCCCAAACTCCTGGCTATCCAACACAGCTCTGAACCCATAATCCTCAAAACTCTCCTGCAAAACACGTGTTTTAAGTTCAGCCAAGACGTAGGGCACTAGGAAGCCTAGATGTGACCTGTCCAGCTGGATGTGGCCYTTGGGAGGTCACTACAAGCCCTGTTGAATCAGTGGGTCCAGCAGCACACGCGGAGGCGAGAGCACTTTGAAGCACTTTTTATGGTACGGGAAGAGATGCTTTGCCTCCCCATACTGTATTAGTGGCAGTAATACAGTATGCCAGTATTGCATTAACTGATTTGCTATGTAAATCAGTCACTGATTTGCTATGCCTAGTTTAATAAAATACTTAATAAATAACACCAGGCAACTAGAATAAACTTATCATTTTAGCTTATTATACATGAGCAGTTTATCACGGAAAAAAAAAAAGAAAAAAAAAAGGATGATGTTTAAACCTTTAGGAATTATGACCATTTCTTCCTTCCCTTAGTCACCTGCAGTGACAAAACAYCACAAAAAACATGAACAAGACTGTAGGAGACAAATCCTCAGTGAGGGAGTTTTCACCATCCCTTGTGGAAGGGCTGTAGGATGCAGCCCACCAATGCAACAACCAGAACTGAACTTGCCATCTTATACAGGACACCTCTCCAGTGCATCAGTATTTAAGGGTTTTCTCTCTTTCAGGTGCAGACGTTAAAACCTGGCCATRGGAATACAAAAAGAGGACAAGGCTGTAGCTGGAAGTGAATGACGCCAGCCCAGCACATCTGCACGGTTTCCAAAGGGCAGGCTGGAAACAAGGACCATCCCTCATGACACTGAACTCCAAATATTTTAGTAGCGCTGAACTTCTGAACCGCTGTTTACAGTATCACAACCCCATCTCGATGCACGGTCATCAAGTAGTTGGGAACACAGCAATTTCCATGGCAATTCCAATAACTTACTCTTAAATTGTGCTTTTCCTTCCATTTAAAACAAATCCAGCTTTCAAGCACTAATTTTTCTTACGTTGAAAAAAGAAAACAAAACAAAACATAGGATCTTGGACCTTTCTTTCTGTGAAAATAACATACAATAAATTGCCTTTATTCATTTCACTAAACAATAGTGACAATAAACAATAAACAAGGCACTAAGCTCCAAGTCTTTCATGATTTTTTTTAGTCCTGGAATCATTTTTGTGCATCTTGTCCAAGCACAGCTCTCACTATTCAAGTACGCTTTTTAAACTGGGAGGGTTTCTTTCTTGCAGTCTCTGTTTTGTAGGAAGGGCCTATTTTATTTTCCTTCTTCATATATGGCTCTACATTTAGCCATATCAAATGGAAGTTTGATTAAACATCACCATTATCAGGCAATCCTTAAAGCTTTGCATGACCACACCAGCTTTATTATCTACTACTCCAGAATTTTTAAAAATGTAACTCTAATAAAATTATACTAATATCCATCCCACTTATTATCACAAAATCAGTTATTTTTGCTACGATTCTAAAAACTGCTATTTTGCTACTAAATACAGTGAATAAAGTGTTTGTCACACTTTGATGTTGCCAAACTCTTCCTTACTTCTCATTAAAAACGGTAAGCAGTAGTTGTTTCCGAAAGAAAGATCATTGAGCCAATCAATATAATTCTCAAAAGAAAAGACCTTTTCCACCACTTTAAATAGATCTCACAGTTGAGATAGGGTTCCCATCTTGCTGTTAGCACATAGGGAGAAAAAAAGCTTGAAAAATCAGTATATCAGGTCTCCTCTGGATTCCACAAAAGCCTTTGATTGCAGAGGAGCATAAATTATATTTGGAAGCTCAACGGAAAATAAATACATTCTCCAGAAGA